GGTTGAAACAATAGATAATAGATATGGCGAAAGTTGCAGCAACTGCATCGCCTTTGTGCTCCCTCTCCCCCCACATTCGTTTTTCGACCTGCTCATTTACAATTGTGACTAACTTGAGAACTTGTTGCACACATTCAAGAATAATATTTCATGCATGAAAGCTGTAATTGAAACATATAAACAAATAAAAAGTAGCTAACCTCAATTTAGATCTGAACTCCAGCATGGGTTAGGTCGCCAGCAGAGCAACTTAAAAAACAAATTCAACACAAAAGATAAGCGAAAAGTCTAATCTCATCTTCATCAAAGAATATATTGACCAAAATAACATAGTAATACTATGAACTGCAACTTGTTTCATATGACTATGAACATCCTCGAGACATTAGCCAGTCTCAAATACAAGCATAGTCAGATACTAAATTAAGACTGGGAACAAACAGCTTTGACTCCTGTTCTAGCAAGTTGAAAATCTTCTTTTCCAGAGATTATATCACGAAAAAATTAAGGATTTCTTACCTCCCAATTTGTAGATGACTAAAATTGGCAATGAAATCAGAATGATCTATGATATGACTAATCATAGGATGAAGTCCATCTACATATTTCTTCTCCTTATCCTCTTCCTGCAAAAAAACAACAAACAATGATTATCGGCTAAATCAAAACTTATGTACCTTTTTAAGCCTAAATAAGAACTTACAATTAGTGACATGAGATTTCCACAATGCTTAATAACACTAATAATCTTCTTGCAAATCTCAACGCTCCGGTGTGCTTCATCACTAAAGCCAAATTCTAATGCAAGTTTGGCTAGCTGCAAAGTCACAAATCAAAAAGAACTTGTTACCAAAATCCCAAAATCAAGAAATCACAAAATAAAAAAATAAAAAACAAACGAGTGATAAAATATAAGCATATTCTATTAGTTAGATATTCCAGTTAAGCATAGATACCTTTGAGTCGGATGACAAGAAGGAACGTATATCTATTATGGATTTGGGTGTAGGAGATTTTTTGCCATTTTTTCACAAGCTTTTTCCCACAATGGAATGTCCTGGTTGAGTATGTCAAGGCCAATCCAAATTCTGTTGTCGAGCATGTTGTAGACCGTATGGTAGACCTCAGCGAGGTTAGGGATATTTTTAAGACGACTCTTAGTATGATCAAAACCGCCGAAAATGTGTTTCTTTTTCAGCGTCTGAGCATTGAGTAAGATCACTGCGTACTGCAAAGCATCATTCCTATCTATTTTGAAATAAAAGAAAGCCATTAACTTGTCTCTCGCGGTCGCTATTTTTTGCATTAACATGGTCTTTGCCATCTTTTCCACGCCTACAATTACATAAGAAATCCCAATCATACAGCCATACAAATAAAGTCAGATATCAGAATTCATCTATCTATCAGTCGATCATGAGTCGATTTTAGGACTAATAATCTTAAAATCCAGAAACCCCCTTTCGGTTCAGACACGGAATCTCCCCTAGAGCTACAGAGACGAACCTAGATCATCGATTGATGGAAGCTTAGTAAACCCTAACCACAAGTAATCTAAACGAAGAACGAGATCAAAAAGAGACGAACCTTTTGGTGCCATCGAACACTTGTTCAGATTTCAAAGGCAGAGATCGAACAAAACAAGGTTAAGATTGAAAAAGCAAATAAGCGAAAGCAATAAAAGGAT